TACATTATTACTTATATTATATTAATACTATTAAAAGGCTTCCACTCGAAAACTAGTTGAGATTCGACCTTGAAATTTTAGTATGACATTTTTCAAGGTATAAACTTCTAAAAAATGCAAAAAAAAATTTAATTTCTTTAAGTTCCACACTGGAAAGTGTTAACCTCAAATTAGAGCAGTACAAAATAATTTAACAAGATGAATCTCTCATTTATTACAATGATTCTTTAGAATGAGGATTATTCAAGGACATAAAAGATGCATAGAAATCAAAATCGGTATTAACTTTAATCCCAAATTAGAGCAGTATAAAATAATATGACAAGATGGATCCCTCATCAATGAGGATTGCCCGAGGACATAAAAGATGGACAGAAATCAAAATCCGTATTAACTTTAATCCGAAATTAGAGCGTTACAAAATAATCTGACAAGATGAATCGCTCAGGGCTTTTTCAGAGTGAGCCGAGGATTAACTTTCCTCTAGATTTTTTTTTACCAGCTTAATGGGAAGCAGAGAAAGCTTGATGGATATACGTGTTGCAGGTTCCTGCGGTAGGTCGAAAGCCAGAAGGCGATGGAATCATTTATGTACCCGTGATAATTAATGACGGCTTAGCTCTGATCCAAGTTGAGACTCATAAACTTCTTAAACGTTGAAAAACACGTTCAACTGTCTTCGTTAAAAAAAAAAAAGGACATAGTTATCGGTTTATAAAATAGAAGAGACGCGATCCACGTGTCCGAGAAAGAAGCGTAGTAACAACAACGGGTCTTTGGCTCTAACGTGGACGCATTCTTTCCGGTCGGAAGCCTGGGACACGGAGTCTAGTCGTCTGTCAAGCGGGCCGTGACAACCGCGAATCTAGGCTTGATCAGCCCCCGTGGCTGCTCTCGTAGAGTTTCAGGGTTAACGCGAACGTCTTATGTAAAACGTTGTACTCGTAACATTGGCGAATTCTAATAATAAACCTCGGGGTAACGTCACGGCTGGTCCGGCAGTAGAAGACTCGTCCGTTGCATAGTCGCCGGGTAGGTAGATAGATAGACGTACGCGCGAGTCCGAGAGTAATCCGCGAGGCGAGGAGAGGTCCCGGTGTCTAGGGTCTATAAATACGTGCGGGGTCCGATTCAACGGCCAACTGGGCCAGTGAAGTAACCGTAGCTCAACGTCCCAAATATAGTCGGACATCTGTAGATACGGACAAACCGACCGGTGCCGATAGTTGGCATCAGCGGCGGACCTACGAGACCGTCGCGAGTATAATAGCGGCTGTCACCACGGCTCCCTAATGACATGCCTATCGTCGGATCGCGAGGCTAATTTTGATTACTCCGCCCGCCATGGAAATGAAGAACGCGGCTAAGGTGATCGAGATCGATAACGATGATAATTTGGGAAACTAGATCGGCGACCGAAGGCTGTCGAAGGGCCGGTTCTCAACGACCATCGCGTTCTCCGTCAGATCGTCGATCGGGATGGTCGTTGGAAGAGAAACGGACTAGCCGCTGGCAGAGAACAGATCTCGGCTGAAGGGGACAATTTTTTCAGCCGCCTCGTCGGAACGGAGCGGTGTCAGGATCAGTGCCAGGAACTTAATTTTGCGATTTTCGTTACCGGCTGCCAAAAAACTTACACTATCGTACGGTTAGATTTAATTCGATCATCGACGACACGTGCAACGGCTATAAATAAATTAGATACGATTGTTTATGCACAGATATTGATTGATCACATCGTGAAAGTGGTCGCAGACGTTTGCGTCGATCGTCTCCGCGTTTCGCAACTCAGAGACCCAGTCTGTCTGATCGATGGGTTGCAAGGGTTGAAGCGAGGGTCAGTCGTGAAGGAAAACTCCGACATAAATAACGCGCACCCTTGCCGTTAGGCACGTTTAAAGCGGGATAGATTGAAGACCTCAAGGACCATCCTTGATAGCAGACTGTACATTTTTATGTACAATAAAAACTGTTTGGATATCAATTAACCCATTCGCTGCCAAGTTATTTCTTGGTAAGAGCACATATATTATCATACATAATCATTTAGAAGCAAAAAACCAAAGACGAGTATACTCGTCGTTGGCAATGGGCCTTGAAAAGAGCCTGCATGTTATAATATATTTAAAGCAGGACGAGTATACTCGTCCTGGCAATGCGTGACACCCTGCCAAAGACGAGTATACTCGTCCTTGGCAGCGAATGGGTTAATGTCCACCAGATTGCTGTTGATGATAACAGCAAAAGTATAGTATTGCAGTCTTTGGTATTTGATGAAACGTGCTAAGGTCGAAAATGCGTCTGGCACGCGTCCGCTAGGTTAAAGTGCGTGAGAAAGCTAGACGAACTCTGGTGGTAGGCATACGCAACAGGCAGGTATTGTCCGGCGGTTCTAAATTATTCGACGTTACTCGGTGCCATCGTGAGTCTTTGGCAGGTTTCGTGCAACGGCGTCGAGGAAACGCAGAAAACTCTCATCTATCATGTCGAAACGCCTTTATACGCGAAAATAGTCGCAAGGATGCACCGAGGTCGCCGCGGCGCGAGAGCGTGCCCGGCGTCAAAGATACGCGACATCGAACTTTATTAATCGCCAACTAATAACGATTATCGCTGTTCTTTTTCTAAATCAAACGATAACGAATGATTGATCGAATAACATTATAAGCCACTTCGTCGAGTGCACGTGCACTCGAAATCATTTATCAGCATTTGCACATCAAGTCTTCTAATAAATTCTGTGTACGTTTTAACTTCTTATCTATGAAGTTACAATCTGGTTCTTCAGAGGTGATAGTAGGAACTGGATATAATTTTCTATGGATGAATGGCGATGGAGTAACGATTAAAATTGCCATTGTTTAAACTCAAGATCCAACGCAGGGTTCAAGTTTATTATACACACTGGCATTAAAAAGTATGATTGCAAACGTTTGAGGAGCTTCGCTGACCAGTTCATTGCGGATCATTTATGTTCCCGTGGTTCTGTAAAACGTTAGATTATTTTTGTATGCCTTCGGTAATCAACCGTTTCGAGCGTCAGACCCGGCAACGGTAGAATACATTGTAGAGTACTCGGTTTTAGTATCGATAAAATCCACTTGCATAACATTCGTTTATAGACCTGAGGGCACATGTTCTGCATACGATTTTCTTCCGATCAACTCAAACTTTATAGAAGATTCTACTTTAGGTAGAATGTATCGATGTTTGTGAAAGAGAATTTGTTTCGTCGCCTGTAGAGAAATATCCTTGAAACAGGCGCTATTATGGCCGGTCAAGCCTACGCTCTAGGCCAGGGGCTAGGCTAGGCTATTTCCGCCATTCAGCTTATGGACAAAAATAGTCGTAGAGAGGTTTAGAACGAGAAACCGCTGGGACTAGAGAAAGACTTCCGCCACTTCAATCGACGACAGTCCCATCTTTACATTTCTTTCTCCAAGCATCTTAATTTCTCATTTTCGTCTGACGTCGAGAATCAATAAACGATCCGTCGCTACGCGTCACTCAGCTTCCTTTGCTCCGGCTCTCCCAGCGGCGTTCAGAAAAATATACACTCTGAGAAAAGATTGAATCGTCCCCGCCATAAATCTTTTAGATCGATCTTCAACAGAAGCTTCGTAAATCCAGCGTAAAGATACACGATTTTAATTAACGTATGTCGTTTCGAAATCGCGTTTTAATTATGCCTCAATCGTCGGCAGCCGTTTATGATTATTTCGGTAATTGGTGGGCGCAATTAATCTCGAGCACCCACGTAATTGCGTTATTCTCTGTCAACCGGGTTGTTCCCGCGGCGAACGGCTATTTCCACAGCCGGCGACGCGGGACAGGTGCTCGGTGCATGCCAACCGAAAGCGCGAAGCCCGTCGTCGCGTCGAACGGAGTACAATTCTTGGGTATACGGATTTCGAAACTACCGAGACGGTGGGTATTTTCAATCCTCTCTTCCTTTCCCTGGCGTCGGTTCGACTCCCGAATGGATTTTTCCTGATGCACATTTTTCGCCATGAACGATATGAAGTACACGCGAGCATCCCTTGCTTTTACTATTTCCCTCTGTTAGTTTTTGTCGAACTATCTTCTCTTTCTGTGAATGTGAAGATTCTGAGAAGTGGGAAACACGTGGAACGAGCTAAGGATAATGATTTATGAACGATGCCAGGGAGATTTGGTTAACCCAGTTCCATAGACCTCGTTCCTCTGACGACCTTTGGATCTGTCGTTGCTCGGACCTAGAAAGACATAAAGTGGGCTCCACCTGCCACCGGACACCAGCCTGACCGTCCGGCAGCACGCCCACACGAATTGCTACCGCGTTATTTCGAGTGTCTTAGCCTTGGGTGGCGGCCAGAGAAGACTTTTGAAATATCGGGGAACGCTTGGACTCTTCCTCGGCCATCAGGGTTTCGAGATAAGTACACCCGAGCATCCCTTGCTTTTATCTAGAAGAGAATCATCCCTCGAGTCACGATCCTTCAAACCGTTTCATATTTGGTCCACGTGTGCAAGCAGCATTAGGATTAGCCAGCTTCAGAGATCAACCCTTATTACTTGCTGCACGTGCGTTGCATGTAATAGATCTAATTTATTTATTTATTTATTCCAAGGGTTGGAAACGGTTTTATATACACGAGGAAACGAGGAGATAAAATATTACAATCGTGATAAGTGCAGAGGACAATTGGGACATCAAATGAGACGTGACAGAAAATGCTTGCGAAGCTTTCGTCTGATGACTTGGCTGGAATCATTAAATATATCAATTAATTTGTTAAACGTGGAACTTAGTTTTAAAAATCCTCCACAGTTTGCGGAATTAAAATCAGTCCACCAATCTCTAATGCGGAGACCAAACGTATATGTACCAACCACTTATCATTTAGCTGACTCCTACCACCCCTTCGTATAAAATACTTAATAATTCTATTGGTAATATAAAAGAAGCATCTCACCAAATAATATTCTTATTGTATTTGGTTTGACGTATATACACGTCAGAAGCAGTCTTAGCTCCTCTTCGTATCTCGTAACTCATAATCATGGGTTACGATTTACAACCATTATAACTCAAATGCCCAAAACTTGAGTTGAAATCGAGATAGAAAATGGTTGGTCTGAGATTAGGCGAAGGGGTAATGAGTTCAATCTGATCCAATAGAAAAGAAGAGTCGACATTGTGATTTAATAAATTCCTCAGAAAAAGTTACCATATGAACAAAAATAATTTAAGACTTCTTAGGATTGTTCTCACATTTTACATATTATGAATGTCCTCAAAAGTGACTTGACTCAATTACACTGAAAGGAATATTGGACCTAAGAAAAAAATTTCGAGTTTTCTCTTCTGATTTTTCAATAGATAACATTTTGTAC